CTTTATTAATATATATCTACCACAAAAGTCATACTTAATTTCGTTGATTATTTGTTTTTTGAGATAAATATTATTTTTTATTCATAATACTATTATACACTTTCGGTATAGGAGTAATCCTTTCAAGTATAGAATGATACGGTAAATCTTCTTGATAAGTAATCATTTTAAGGGGAGGGTTATACTTACCACCAGCTAAACTTATCACCCTTACAATTAATCTAATCACCGTTAGATTAGAATTAAATCTAATGGTGATTAATTACCGCTTATAATCTTAATTTTTTTTCTCACGTCCCCTCTTTGTCTGTCTCTCTAGGTTTTCATCCCCTCTCTGTCTCTCTCTAGTTTTTTTTTTGGGTAATCAAAAGGGAAATGCCCCAAAAACAACAAAGCAAAAAACAAAACTGCAAGAAAAAAAAACTAATCAGGTGCAGCAGCCCAGATCTGAGCAGAAGACCCCTCCAGACATTTTTTAATAAGATTAACGAATGACTTAACGAATTTTTTATTGTCTTTGACAAACCCAGGCCATTGCAGTATACTCTTAATCTTCTTAGGATCCATGGACATTTTCAATTTGGATATTATGTTGCCCAAGTATCCGAATCATTTCTCTTTCAGGGTGTTGGAAGCCTTTACCACAAATGCTTTAGAGTTTTTTTTTTACATACTCATCCATTATCCTTCTTTGCCTAAAAGTGGCGAGGCTCTCATATATGTTTCTCTGTTCGATCTCTAAATCATTGAATCAAGACTGCCATTGAACCTTCCAAATCTAGAGAGAAAAAAGAGATAGACAGAGAGGGGATGGAAACATAGAAAAAGAGAAGCAGACAGATAGGGGATGGAAACATAGAAAAAGAGAGGCAGACAGAGAAGGGATGTGAGAGAAAAAATTAAAATTATAAGGGGTGACTGATCACCGTTAGATTTAATTATAATCTAACAGTAATTAGATTGGTTGTAAGTAGGGGTGTAAATGGGTTAGACCAGCCTACATGGGCCTACGACCTAGCCTATATTAGGCCAGACTTGGCCTATTACAAATAGTAAAATAGAACATGCCTAGACTTTTTTTTGTACATGTCGGGCCTATAAGCCTACAGGCTGGCCTATATCATATTATTTATTTTAAATAAAATAAATAAATTTAATATTTTAATAATTTTGAATAATAAATTAATATTATTTTAGTTATTCTTTTAATTATTGAATGTTTAATAAGCTTAAACAGGCTAACAAGCCTAGGCCAAAACTTTAATTTTATAAATATATATGTCAGGTCAGGTTTGTAATTCGAGGCCTACACAGGCTAACTGGTCAGGCCAGACCTAATATTTTTTACACAGATCTGACCTCTTTATATCAAAGTCTAGCCTAACCTAACATATTTACACCCCTAATTGAAAGGGTGATAAATTTAGCTTGTGATTAGTATAACCCTCCTCTATCTTTAAACCCAAACTTTCATCTTTTTCCTAAAAGTGCAGATAGCTTACTAGCTATTATGCCTAATTAAATCCTTGTGGTTTAACAATCTTTATCCAACCGAGGAAAACTTTTTTTTTTTTTGTAAACAACTGAGGAAAACTTAACTGATTGCTAAGCTTTCATATAATAAATTCATACATTTTTTTTTAATTTTAGCCATGACGATATAGAAATCTTAATATTATATTTATCAATAACTTTCCATATTCTCTCCCCTTCAAGTTTGATATGAGATTACAACCACGTTAGTTGTTTATTTTTTATTTTTTTAATAAATATTATCGTGCATATACAAGGTCGAAATTATTTAACACTGATGTCAGATTAAAATATTTGATATTAAATCATAATTGTTGATTTTCAATAATCTGAAGCATATTGCCCCTACAACATTATTATTGTATCTCATGTTAACTTTTGATGTTGGTGTCATTTGATAATTTTCCCCAATTGGCATAAATTACAGCCGCCACAATTCCATATTAGCTGCGGTAGCCAATCGTCATGTTGAGTCCATTATTATAGACTCAGCCTATCGTATTAAAGTCAACCTTAAGATTAATCACTTGTTTATTTAATAAGATAGATTAAACTGTAATCAGAACCAACAATCAAGACAGAATAAATTCATAATCTAATTCTATCGATGTTGACCATTCATTATTTAATTCTCTTAGCATTTAATTGTAATTAATCAATCTATAAATAAGTATGGAAATTGTTGTTAGCATCAGCAGAAAGAATATGCCAAAGGAATATAAAGAATCTTTCTTTGATCAAAGTCGAGGAGATTTATGATTCAAGCCAAATAATTATATATTTATACATATATAAATGTGGTGTTTGGGAAAGGGGGATTAGATTGCAACGTATAGACAAGTTCCCTGGTACTACTACACAGGGACAAGGTAAGCCTGCATGATACATATTTGGCAATTAGGATTCAATTAATTCCTACAACATAAATTAAAGTGTTCAAAAGTATTATAGAAAAATAACAAAAATATTATTAGATGAGGATCTTTGACACCATCCGGCGTATCTATTTGGTAAAAATTATTATTTATCAGCATGACTTTTTTGAACCTTTGAATTGACACAATTACCTACTGGGAATGGAAATATCACATGTTCACTTTTGCAATTCAGTATCACATTTCACAATTGGACAGTGATTCTGTAATCAATTAATGTTTTTTTTTTTTATCTTATCTTATGTATATTTATTTTTTTGTGAAGCTTGCTAAAAGTGTTCCTCGTCACATGGGATAATGATGAATGTGTTAAGATAAAAGTACGTGCTTCGACCTCATTAAATAAATCATGTGATAAGAGATAGAGATCATACCATCCTTTTCATACCAAAACTATCAATTAGTTGGTTCGATGGAAAGCACAAATATTCTGAAAATATAAAGTTAATGCAAGGAATATAGGAAGAATCAGTGTATATATATGAACCAAAAGAATAGATCATTGACTAAAGAATGACATTATTAGTGTATATATATATATATTTGTTGATAACTACTGTGTTATGGATATGTTGAAGACTGAATTTCCAAGACAAAATAATTTTGTGCAAACTCCCTCATGTAATTGATAATGATTGACTATGTTTCTCCACTCAACCCATGAGTGAAGTTCTCGGGACCACTTATAATTATTTAGCTTCATTCCCCACCCACAGTCTCTTTTCTAAGGTGGTAGAATTCAGCAAAATCATGTTGATAAATTTCAAAACATAAGGTGACTTTTTAAAAGTATCCATAATTGGGGAGGTTTTGCAATCACTAATCAATACCATTAAAGGAGAGTGTAATCTGTTAACATCAATTAGGACTTTTCATGATGTGTGAGTTGCGTGTTCGAGTCGAAGTAAATCTTGCAAATCTATAAATATGGTTTATCGTGAAGCCAAAGTCTACGATAATAAAAGGATGTCTCGGACTAGGATTATTAACGCATCAGTCGGAACGAATTTTCTTCGAGATTAAGTTTGTGTTTAAATACATCAACTTGAATACAATTAGGGATATTAGGGACGAGGAAGGATATTGTGACAACCAAGTTGTGTTATTATCAAATGACTACCAATCAATTTTACCGTTAGATCAATTATATTGATCCAACGGTTATATTTATTTTCATTTTTGTATAATCATGATTTCCCAAATTTAATACTTTATATTTATTTTCACCTTTGTATGGTTATGATTTCCCATATTTAATGCTTTCACTTTAAATATGGGGAATCATGACCATACAAAGATGAAAATAAATATAACCGTTGGATCAACATGATCGATCTAACAGTGAGATTGATTGGTAGTCACTTGGTAGTAACACAACTTGGTTGTCACAATATCCTTCCCCATTAGGGATATGTAAAATAATCAAAGAACTGAACTGAATTATAAACCGCCCTTAAAATAATCAATTTTTAAAAATCTGTTCATGAACCGAATCGGTTTTTTAAAGAACCAGTTTATGAACCGAACCGATTTTTAGAACCAATTTAAGAACCGAACCGATTTCGAACCGAACCGAACCGAATCGTTTTCAAACCAAACTAAATTGATTTTTATAACTTTATTTTTTAAATTTTTTTCTTTTCAAAATAGGGTCGACCCAAACCGGTTTCGAACTGAACCGAACCACTTCTGAATCGAATCAGTTTTGAACCGAACCCAAACCGAATCGAACCGTTTCAACCGAACCGAACCACTTCCAAACCGAACCAGTTTTGAACCGAACCATTTAAACTAATTCGATTCGGTTCGACGCATACACATCCCTAAATACAATTATCAACCTGTGACCTGATTTATTTATAAAAAATAAAAATTTGATTTAGTCTGTTAAAAAAAAATAACAAAAATTTATCCAAACAAAATATAGGATAAATGTACTAATAATTTCACAAAGATTCATAAATTCAATGTATATCCAAATAGCATAACATAAAATATTTATTTTACAAAAATTCTACTTAACCAATAAAATTAGGTGAAATAGGTTGAGGAGAGAGAGAGAAAGGGCTATTATGAATAGTATAAAAATTGTAAAATAAAAATAAAAATAAAAATATTAGGCCAGCCCGAGAGATTCTAAGGCCATATTTTTGAATTGGAGTTTAAGGACTTTTTATTAAACTAACTTTTATATAAATCTAAGTCTTATTTTAATAATCAATTTTAGACGTGTAAACCCAGACTTTCATTAGTCGAGCCAAAAACCCTAAAAGCTCTGATTTATTTAGCACCCGTTGGACCCGTTAATGAACTACTTGACCTGTGATCCGGCCTGTTTTCCTGATCCGAATGGCCCATCAGTTGCGTATTTATATTCCCATTCCCGCCATTATTTGAAATTTGCAACCCCCATGCACCTTTCTGTTTCTCTTCAATCTTCATTGCTCTCTGGTTCATTCGAATTCGCAAACCGATTTTCCTTAACGGAACCAACAAACGAACTAGGGCTTCAATTTCATCTTCGAATCGGAAATGAAGATCAACAAGGCATGCGATCTCAGCTCAATATCCGTCCTTCCTCCTCACACCAGGTTCCTCTTTCTTTTCCCTCTTTGTTTTTGCCTTATCGTTGTTTCTCTGCTTAGATCCGGAGGAAACGCAAGGAAATAAAAAATTAAAAAGAAAAATCTAACAGTACCTCACTTTTCTCTCAGCTCGCAATAAGGTTCCATTTCAAAATATTGGTGTTGAGATATATATACTTTTTTTTCATTTATGCTTTTTTGTTGTGGAATGCAATCTTTAGGAGACCTAACACTGTACCGAGTGGATTGCAATCATCGCAGCCTCGCTCACAACCATCTCAGCAATCAATTTCTCATGGACTTTCATCTCACTCTCAGCATGCAATGTTGTCTCAGTTCTCTCAAAACTCTCAGGATGAAGCTGTGATAAATAGCCAGGTTAAATCTCGTTATCACACGAACCAGACATTCTTGTTTTCGATATACAATATCAATTTTCAAATTGCAAAAGTTTACCAGGGTTTAAAATATTTTATTAAACTTGAATTTTGCATAAAATTGATAGTATTGTACTTACGAATTAACTGTGAGTTTGGAAAAACCTACTGCCAAACTAGAAGAGAGGAACATGAATTGTGAGAAAGAAATTAATAGTGTTGTTTTCATACTGTGCACTTCTTAAGCTGCATTATTATTATTATTTTGCATGTCCATTTTGTAACTCTTGGATCAAGATACTGAAGATTCTCACTTGTTTATTTTGTTAGCATGGTTCCTCATTTACAAATTTGCAAAAATATTTGGCTGTAAAAGTGTAAAACCATACTCTGCAGTGCTTAAAGTGCATAAGAGAATGAATATATTTTATGCTTAACTTTTTTGTACTGAATATTCTTACTTAAAAATTGCTAAACATTCCTTAAATCCTCATGTCCTATTTACTTACAAATGAATAAAGAATCCATGGTGTACTACCTTGTGTAGGACAAACTGATACGGACCAACAGCAATTAACAAGGAATCAAATAAAAGAAAGAAACGAGACCCAATCTTATATATGAAATGCTATCAGTATCTGTGTTACAATAAGGAAATATAATTGCCAAAGACAACTTCAAATATAACTACAGAGGCAAATTGACGAACAATGCCAATTAAGCTCCTCTTACATACAGAAAACAATGCAGCAATGGAAACTAACGATGCAAAATAAGAAAGATAATGTGAAGCAATTGGAGAGGCTTCACTCTCTCCCAAAGTCTCAATTCCACTCTCTAGATTCTGGATACCCATTCCCTCTCCTCTTCCGCGTTACTTATCCCTCCTCCATCCACGTTGTTTTGCGTTCCCACATTCTGTTGTAACAAACTTGCTGAGTCAGCAGTGGAATCGTTGCTGTTTGGGCTTGGGTCAGCCTCAATGGAGGTCCAAATTCTTCTATGCTTGTCTCTTTTGTACACCTTATTGGGCTTGGAGTGGTTTGTATCACAAACCTACAAATTTGAGGGGGGGGAAACTTCTTCTACCCTGCTTCTGTTCTCTAACTTTTTCTAATGCTTTAGGTTTATTGCCTGGTAAATGGAGAACCTCTAGTAGATCCTTCATCCAGTTATGAATTGTTTTAAGTAAAACAAGCATATTATTTGTTTGAGTTATTTATTCCCTTTATATGAATTCTTAGACATAAATATATGCAGTCCATAATTCTGACTATATGTTTATTGTGTTCTTTTAACCCTTCCAGAGAGTTTGTTCTCAAGAACATGAGAACTCGGTGAGAAGGAGTTCTTGCTTGCCCCGAATTCAATATTCACGGGAAGAGAGTCAACAACCCAATTTGATATCTTCATCCACTCTCATGCGCAAATGGAATTCTGCAGATCATAAAAGTAAGGGCACTCCATGAAAGTATGGGTTATGTTTCTATAGCTTAAGTCTTTAGCATCCACGTTAGACATATTTAATAATGGTGTGGCTTGGCTATGCAAAAGTAGGGCATCAATTTAAGTTAGTGTCTTTTACATGCACATGAGTTCAAAAAATAAACTGAATATTATTTTCTCTTGCAGGCCAGTTAAGTGAAGGACTTGAACACCGAATTGGTATAATGGAAACTTCGTTGAACAGGATTGCGATGATATTGGATTCTGTTCAAAGTGATGTAATGCAAGTTAACAAAGGAACAAAGGAAACTAATTTAGAGAGTAAGTGACTCGTCTAATATATTGAAAGTATTCTGAAAATGATTTATGGAAGTTGTATTTTACTGATCAACATAAGTACTTCTATGTGAAAGACAATTAATCTTGTAAAAAAGAAATTCTATTCATTGCATGAATCCTTCACTGACTCCAAATTTCTGTTGTTATAATTAATTTTTTTCAAAATTTTCTGCTAAAATATTATATGGCTATCATCTCTTTTGAACTTAGAACTCTTACTGAGATCTCATTTCATACAGTTCATTAAATATTCATTGTCAGGTTTCTCAACCTGGAATTTGTTGGTTAGCCGTGCTGAATCCAATTTCAATTTTCTTATAATCTATGTATATTTTGTGGCCTCACTGGTCTATTGCATGTGCAAGTTTGATCACCTATCCTACAATTTTAACTCCTCAGTTTTGATTCAGTGGAATGCATACGGCAGAAGTTGATCATTCATGATAACTCACTGCAATTAATGGTAATCCTAATTTCTATCTTTACTTGCATGATTTCTTAAAGCATCAGCGGATATCAAATTTCAGTTAACTAAGGGGTGGCGGTTTTAAACCAGATCAAAGGACAAGAAGAAATTAAAGCAAGCATTGAAGGGAACTTGAAATCGTTATCTGAACACATGTGCAAGGTTACAAGCCAAGAGAAGTTACAGGAAGTATCTTCAGTGGTTTCAACTTTGCCACAGCTAATAGAAGCCTCTCTGCGAAGTCTACAAAATGAACTAGATAGCTCCTTCACCAAGGAAATGCAGGCACGTAAGATATGGCAATGAATAATGATAAAAAGAAAACATGTAAAACCTAACAACTGTTGTTAAGGGTTAATCACAGATCTTAACGTAAAAATTGCTCAAAGCTCCTGCACCTTTTTATACGACCAAGCCTTTCTTTCATTAACATTTTTTTCTCTTCTTTCTCATATATAGTTTTTGGAGGTCAGTCTCCTTGACTGCTGTCAACCAACTGATGTTTTGCCAATGAGTACTTGCAGGAAATCTCTTGCAGTTTAAAACGCCTCAATCAAAATGATCTGGCACAGTCCACCCTATCTACCAAGGTGCTTTATCTTTGACATAATGAATCATTAACAGATTTGTTTTGGATCCTATCCTTTTCCTTAAGAACGCGATGACATTGTGGAGTTCTAAGAGAGAAAAGATACACAGAAGTAGTTTGTATCTTTCTCTCTTATAACATGAACATGACACTGTCATGTTTTTAACAAAAGGGAGAGGATCCAAATAACAGCTTACCTCGTTCCTGATTTTTTGTACGATGAAAAAATGGTTTCTGGAAAAATAAAATAAAATTTGATACATTGTTGGTTTGCAGGTTACCACACCCAAAAGGCCTCAGCCTCAGCCTGCTGCGAAGTATGTGTACCCCCATAACTTTTAGTACTACTAGTCTTTCTACTCTATTAGGAACGTCACATACTTACATCTATTTTTCTACATTATAAGTTGGTCAATTTCACCAAGTTATATATTTTTCACAACCAAATGTGACAATCTACTGTGGGTGGATTTTAATTTTATACAACATATATTTTACCTGAAAGGCTGAATGAGTTAGATTTAAAAATCACATAATCACTCTTACCCAAAAAGAAAAAAAGAAAAAACGCATGATCACAATCACATAGAATGAGTGGGAGAGAGAGCAGTTAATAACTTTATACATACATAACATGGTAATCATGCGGGCCTACCAAAGTTTCCAGATGTTGTTTGCTGCCATGGCTCTATATTAAGTGTTCCTCCCAAGGAGGAATTCTACCGTCATTCCATCCTTCCGCTAAAAAGAATCAGTTTAAAAAACTAAACAACATCAACCTTGGTAAGTTGTGGCCCATTTGTCGATTACGGATGTATTTCCAAAGTTCCATCTACTAAAAAAGTGAAGTCACTACTTTTGGAGATTATTCACCCTTTTGTTTTTGGATAATGCTGTTTTTTCCTATTCTTGTTAAACAAAAAATGGCTAAAACCCACAAGAGGGGGTGAATTGTGGTAACTTGTTTAGTAAGAAACATTTGTCCCTTAACCTAAAATACAAGAAATCACCTAAATTCGATCAAGAACAGAATCTAAACCCTATATACTATAAAACAAAATTGAATCAGAGTCTAAAACGCAACAATATCAAAATCAAACACAAAAATTAGAGAGTTTAAGGGTAAGAAGATCAAACATCGTGATTTATCCTGATTCACTCTCAAACCACACGAGTCGCACATTTATTTCCTTCAAAACTTCCAATCGGTGTCTGAAAAATCGAATTACAATAGAGTTTTACAAGAATCTTGACCAAATCAACTTCCAGCAGTAAAACAATCTAAAATAGATCAAAAACAACTTTTTCTCAATCTAATAAAAACAAAAAATAAAAAAAATGAAGGATGAAGAATCAAAGAGCCTTCTCTCTCAATATGCAAAATAAACTCTGCAAGCAGCAATATTAAAATCAAAAGCGAAAATAAAGAGTTTAAGTGTTAGAAGATCAAACACCGTGATTTATCCTGATTCATCCTCAAATCACACGAGGGCTAGGTCCATACTGTTGTTGCACGTCCACTAACTTCACAACTTCCAACTGGTGTCTGAAAGACTGAATTACAATGGAGTTTTACAAGAATCTTGACCAATCTTAGTCACTCTCTCAACCTATACACCTATATGATTTGTCCAATCACTCAAATCAACTTCCAACAGTAAAACGATCCATAATAGATAAAAAAATTTCTTCATAATCCAATAAAAACAAAAAATTAGAAGAAACGAAGAAGAATGAAGAATGAAAGAGCCGTCTCTCTCAAGTATGCAAAATAACCTCTAAATGGTGATCAATATGATTTCTTTGTAATATGATGTAAACTCTGTGTAATTCTTGCTTAGAAACACTCAATCTATGTTTTTATAGGAGCCTAATGGATATACTAGCCATTTATAGCCTTGGAGTTGAAATTCTAATTTTTAGTTTTCTGTTACAAGTTACTCGAGTAAGTATCATGCATGTACTCGAGTAACTGTTCTTGAGCATTTACTCGAGTAAGTCATGTACTCGGGTAACTATTTATGAGTTACTCGAGTAACACCAGATCATAAGTGTCTATTTATGCAATTTTTTATCCAACTTAACTCCAAATTGTTTCGAATGACTTCTAACACATGAATGAATGTGTGTAGTCTCTGTATAACATATTCTCGTATGTGTGAACATATATGCATGATTGGACAATGTTAAGAGTGTTAGTATTAATAGTGTAGAAGTCCCACATTGAGTGTGTCTCTTTGTATTCTTCAATTGGTTTGCTATATAATAGCACCAATGTTGTGTAGTTTAATACAACAAGGATTACTATCATTTCCTCTTGTATCTATGAGATTTAACATGTTATCTAGAGCCTAACAAGAGGAATCTTAATCCGTTTAACTTAGTTCTATTTCCCATAATTTCAATATGGTTATAGAGAGATATCACCCTCCTTGAGGGATTCCCGTTGCTATTTCTTTTTCGGGTTTTTCTTAGTATGCTCTGTGACTGCAACTTTGACTGATTTGTCACATCAGAAAAGAATGATCCTTGGGAAGTTGTTGGGTTGACCACCGTTGTCGTTGACCGACCACCGTTGACCGCGTTGTCCACCGTTGACAGACTTTTCCGGTGACTTTTCCGATGACTTTCCGGTGACTTTTTCGACGACCCACCGCCGTCTCCGGCGACTTTTTCGATTCTGCGAAGCTTTGTTTTTCTTTAATCTTCTTTCTTCCCAAGATGGAGTATTTATACTATTCATCATCCATCTTGAGGGGGAGCACTGTCCATGTTGCTGATGGTCATTCCAGCACAATTGTCTTTGCCGATGATAATTCCGGCACTGTTTAGAAGTTCCTCTTGAGGGGGAGCACTGTCCATGTTGCTGATGGTCATTCCAGCACAATTGTCTTAGCCGATGATAATTCCGGCACTGTTTAGAAGTTCCTCTTGAGGGGGAGCACTGTCCATGTTGCTGATGGTCATTCCAGCACAATTGTCTTTGCTGATGATAATTCCGGCACTGTTTAGAAGTTCCTCTTGAGGGGGAGCACCGTCCATGTTGCTGATGGTCATTCCAGCACAATTGTCTTTGCCGATGATAATTCCGGCACTGTTTAGAAGTTCCTCTTGAGGGGGAGCGCCGTCCATGTTGTTGATGGTCATTCCAGCACAATTGTCTTTGCCGATGATCATTCCGGCATCTTCCATGTTGATGTTCATTTCAACGCCATTTTTAGCACATTGTTGATTTTTGGTTTCTCATTTAGGAGATTTATTTTGATGTTATGTTACTTGGTCTTTCTTGTAATAAGCTTGTAGCATAGTCAAGGGGAAACCACGGCTGCTCACCAACTGTTAAATGAAATGTCTGAGAGGGATCTTGATGCTGATGTCTTGGTCAGCTCAGTTGTCTTTGCCGATGATAATTCCGACACCATTCATGCTCTGATGTCCATTCCAGCACTGTCTCTTTATCAGCTCTTCAGACTGATGGTCATTCCAGTTGATTTGTTGTACTTAGTCATTTCATTTCGTTGATGTAGCATTGTTGTTTTTGGTTCCTAATGCGAGTATTATTTATGTATCAAGCTTGTAGCATATGATCTATATGCTACAGCTTGAGGGGGAGTGTTAAGAGTGTTAGTATTAATAGTGTAGAAGTCCCACATTGAGTGTGTCTCTTTGTATTCTTCAATTGGTTTGCTATATAATAGCACCAATGTTGTGTAGTTTAATACAACAAGGATTACTATCATTTCCTTTTGTATCTATGAGATTTAACAGACAACTTAGGTTCCTTAAATGCATGTATTAGTGATGCTAGTATGCATTCCTTAGTGAGAGAGCTTAATAAACTTCATTCTCGTGGTTTCCATACCAAATATAACATTTCTAACTTATTGAGCTTCTGACTTGGCTTCACTTCCTTGTGGTTCTAGTTTTGACTTCCTTAGATCTACTTTGACTTTGAAGCTTTGACTTTTGGGTTGACTTTTCCAATTTCACTTCTCCTTTGCTTTTTGAATGTTGCATTTGCTTTCTAACATCATTTGGGACTTGCAGCATTGGTCTTTCATTGTACTTGCATGTTGAGTTTGTTTGTGCTTTGTTATCATTAAAAGTTAAGACCTTTTACAATTCAAGCCTTTAGGGTTCAATAATTCTTTCTCCATAAACACATAATAGCATATTAGCAATTATTCAACTTCTTGCGATCTGAATTATTAATTTAATTTATAATTTATCTAATGTTACACATTGGCTGATAAATATCCAGGTATATTGCAGTGTAATGATATATTCTATATCATTTTGCTTCCACCTGTTCAGTATATTAATGCTTTTGTTTATATTTGCTTAGTTTGTCACTTGTAAAAGCACTTGTTATGACCAAGGTCACAGGTATTTTTCTTGATTTCAGTGAAGCAAAAATTACTGTAGCTCCCAAGGTAGAAATGGGAGGGTGGAAGCCAGTAAAAAATGCGAGGGTCACTTTTTCAGATAAATTATCTGAGAAGGTACACAAGCAGACAGAGCCAAACACTGGAAAGGTACTTTCAAAATTTGTCTCTTGCCATTCGTGATCAGAGAAAATTGCTCTCTTTCTCTCTCAAAAAGTTTGATTATATTGTGTTCTCACTTTTTATAAGCGATCATATGGTATGAAGGAAGTTATATAAGATGCACTTGATAGTGACATTTGTCTCTCTTCATTTTCATGCAAAATATTTCTGCCTATTATTGCTATACGCTTTATCAATTTCCAACTACTGAATGGCAGTATGAAATGGGAGGAAGAGACTATGCAATTATCATTGAATCTGATGAGGAGACTGCTGAAAGTTGTTCCAGCTTGGTTGAAGAAAACGCAGGTGGTTGACAAAACTAGAATAGAACTTCCTCTTGGTCGTCTCTCTTATTGCTTATCTTTAGCTCATATTTTACAGAAGTAAACACACACTGTCCCAATTCGTCATCTTTGATTCGCTTCAGGTTCCTTCAAAAATATTTTGACATCAGAATACTATAGTCATAGTAGTCAGCAATTTGTGTATGAAGGGATGAAACTTAGAGTCATTTGTGTTATGAAAAAGGTGCTGGCAACAATTTGGTATCAGATAAATATGGTAACGATTAAGTTTTAAGAGTCATTGTTATCACTTAATGCTTCTTACATTTGTAGGCTATAAATTTTATGGTAACGATCAATCAATGTATTTGTTGATCTGCCTTAAAAAATCATTAGTGCTAAATATATAACTCTAATATAAAGTTTAATTGTTTATAGTCTTTATAAATTTTCATGGGGAAGAGCTTTACGGAAAATTTACTAAGGAAGAAGATGAAGAAGCTCAGCAGATTTTCCAAAAAGCAAGGAGGCGCAAGAGGAAGTATTGTAATGCTACAATTATTCATTGAAGGTACGTTTAACACTGATTTCCATGTATCATACTTATTTCTGTCTGCCATGGTGTAACTAAATGGTAGGCAAGTGCATTCTGCTAAGTGCTACTTAAGAGTTAAGATTGTATGGATTCAATTATTAATTTATACGAAAACAAAAAGGCAAACATAAAGACTACCCACTACTCGCGCAGTTTTATGCAGGTGCAAAGTGTTTTCAGACGCAGAGGCTCGGAGGCCAAAAAAAAATGTCTGCAAAGTTTCTTTATTGGGTTTGTTCGCTTACATCAAGTTGTTTAGATATTTAGTTTAGCACAGTTCCGGTAGTTGCAACAAAAAGCTGTTCTTTCCATTTAGATCACAAGGTATTCAAATTTACTGAATGCCTATATAGCTTATTCAGTCAATTAATATGTAGTTTGTAATATAGAATTATCAACACTACTATATATCACAAATAGTTTTGGTGAAATGGTTCCCGAATAAACAAATGGCATTTAGTTACACACTCCACCTTTTGTTTTCGGTTAAAATATAAAAACCAAAATATTAGAAAAATCCAAAAAGAATGCATCTAAATTTCATTCCACTCATCCGTAAAAAGTTTCACGAAATTGGTTGTGACTTTTATCATTTTCCCTAGAATTATAGCCGCAAAATTCATATCTTCTGTTCCAATTCTGTGTTTTGAATTAAAATACTGAGATAAAAAAAGAAGATTAAACACATGTAATAAAACATGATTGGGTTGAGGAAAGATGATTCAATTTTATACGAAGGCATTTCGTAAGGCCACCAAATGAGCTTTGTAATGGTTAAAATTTTGGAAGTGGCACAGGCCTGGACACAAATGAGCAATGACAATGGGTTCTTTTACGAATCTCAAGTTCAAGCCCATTCATGTGTTTTTTATTTTTTTGTTAAGTGGGCTATTTAAGCTCGCAAACGCCTATACATCAAACATGCCAAGGAATAATGATTCATGTATGTTAGAAACTGTTGAGAAAAATAAAAAATTGTATTTAGAAACTGAAAAATTCCCATTACCTGATTTCAGCAAAAGAGAAAAAATAAGAGAGGAAATCTTAGATTATCCTATTAACTTTGCTTTTCATCCGAATTGCTCCTTTTAACTTTCCACTATGATAAATTACACATTTTGAAAGTTGAATATAATTGGCATATAAATTAAAATTTGAAGTAAGGAATCTATACTTGGCTCAAAATAATAATATCGACATTAATAACCACAGCTCCACATCCTCTAAAAACATAGCGGACAGGACGTCGATTAGATCAACTTAATGCTTTGTTTTTTCGTTTCCTTAGAAAATTTTGGTTTGGTTTGATGATTTACATGTGAAGCATGAGCTTCACCTAAGCCTGTTCTTTATAATGGTAAGGTAATTTTCATGGCCGATAATGATATAATAAATTGTTGTGGTTGAACACTCTTATCAAAGTAGGGCACTGGCTACTTCCGCAGGGACAACCTCCAGGTGGCTTATGAAACAATGTTCTTATAGGTGTTTGGTAGGAGAGTTTTTTTGGGTCCCTAAGAAAGTTGAGATGAGTTTTCTAGTTGATTATGTTTGGTAGGGAATTTTAAAAAAATTGCCTATCATTTGAATTTGCATAGCAATCTCAATTTATGTGTAAAAAGGAAAAATTTTGTCATTTCATAATATCACCCATAGAGTGGTATTCTCGTTACTCCATCAATCATTTCATAATATCACCCATAGAGTGGTATTCTCGTTACTCCATCAAATCAAAAAGTAGTAAAAAAGCAATGGACACAAATATCTTTCTCAAAAAAAAAAAACGTGCCGAGAGAGAGTTTTTTTCATATTTAGTTGAGGGTTAGTTTGATAATTCCGTTTCATTTTTCATCAATATTTTACCTTCAACCAAACATAGACTCAAAAAATTTAACTCAAATTTTTTGGTAATATTTTGGCCTATCAAATAATTTTTTTAACTTTTCTACCAAATTTATTTTCCCACTATATTTCTCGTAATTGTAATTTTCTGATAAATTTTTTTTCTTTTCTACCGAACACTTATATAAAACAATCGTTACTTTTCTCTTATGTGGAGATATTTTTATCTTTTCCATTATTTTTTTTATACATAAAAATTTATGTGAGGTTAGACACAATATTTTATTAGAGTAAGAAAAGACTCCAATCTCTTTGGGGATTTTCGTTCTTATAAACACTGCTCGAAGCTCATACCAAAACACAGGAAATAAACTCAAGGACATAGAAAAAAACATGGGGAGGGGGTATAAAGCAAGGTGCACAAGAACCCAAGACTACCTATCATTAAATAAAGTAATTAAGATAAGATAAGATGCAATGTGTCGGCTTTGAAAGACTAAAATGAGCATATGCCACGAACGACTATATATTATTTTCCTCTAAAGGCATAATCATTATTATCTTAGAAACTATCAATAATAATTTAAGAAAGAGAAAATAAATTATTACAAAGAAGTTGAGTTCATCGGCACTAGATGCCATTAGGAAAATTCTAATTTAGCTCCTTTCTTAAATATCTTAATCAAAGTAATGGTAAACATCACCCCCTTTGTTTTTAGCTGAATTTCTAAAGGTCTCCTGGTAGGCCAACTCCGATCGGATAATAAACCAATAAATTAAGAATCTCTACATTTTTTTTGTCCTTCAGTAGGGATGTGTACAGTTTGGTTTGCTTTGGTTCCATTTTCTATAGTGATTCAGTTGGGTCAAACCACATCAATTTTCAATAATAGTTTGGTTCTAAAACTTGGAAAAATGTAATACGGTTTGGTTTGATTCGCAGTTTGGTATAATTTTTTTCAGACTTCTAAAAATTAGTATGAGTCAACTTGATATGGGACCAAATTGGTAAAATAATTTAATGATAGAACCGATTTTAAAAAATATAATTCTTTGAATACAAATTGATTCACAGGTTAGTTCAGTTTATTTAATTTTTCTTTTCACCTCCACTCTTAGCAATTCAAATGTATGATTCATAACTGGAATGTCGTCTGGTGCACAATGTCCATGTTTATACTTTACCCCCATTTTATGAATTTATGTTGTCTAATTATGGCATCATAAATGTCGAAATATGAAACCAAAAATTCACCGCACATAACACATTTGAATTACAATTAATATATGAGGTAGGAGTCTACCGAAAAAATATATATAAGGTAAAATATTCATATTATTATTATTTTTTCTATTATCAATTTACTACACTTTAATTATCGTTACATTAAATTTTTTAGCAAAAAGTGAGTTGAAGAAAGAGAAAAAAGTTGCTGAAAAATTTGATTTAACAATTATTATATTGATAATAGAAAAAAGTGGTAGTATGAATATCTTATATGATGTTAACATAAGTTTAAAATAAACTTAAATAAGCTAATAAGTTCTAAAAGTTATAAGCAACAAATCACATTAGCCATTAAAAAGATGTAATCACATGTGCTTAATATAATTATTGACTTTGTTATTATTTTTTTTTTTTTTGGTATAACCTGAAAGTATCCAGGTTCATTAACAATTTTTTGAAGATGCTTGTTGTGATCAACTGATCTATTTGACTCTCACACGAAGTTAATTTGTTTTCAATATTGTTAAAATATTTGTTAACATAGTTATTTTCTGTCTCGAGTTTCAAATACTAACTCACACTAAATTTAAGGACCATATTTCACTTTAGAATTTAGATTCAAAATCATGCAAAGTTTTAAATAATAAGTCAAATTAATTTTTTAGAAAATTGTGGTAGATTGAATTGAGTGGGTGAAAATTTTATCGACCCACTACCCATCCGTGTACCTTGTGAGTTGAAATGTTTTCCAACCCAATGCAATGTCCCACAAACTCAATCTAATTTACATTTTATGTAAGTTGAGTTAGGTCAATGACCCATGTTATATTATTGAATCAATTTAAGTAATGTTTTCTTCTTTCTTCCTGCAACAGTATATAATTGTGTAAATAACTCCATTTAAATTTAAGTAATTCAAATTCTTATTTCTATAATTGTGCAAAAAGTATTTCTCCAGTCACCGGAGATAAAGTTATCTTCAGTGAGCTCAAAATGAAGTCGTTTTGAAGTTATAAAATTAAAAAATTATAATGATAAAGATTAATATAATCCTACAATATATTAAAATTATAAAATATCTTGATTTCTGTTCCAAAATGACGTCATTTTGGACTTACTGATAACTTATCTTCATCGGTAGAAATCCTTTACCCTTAAATATAACTTTATATAAACTTGCATTTTTAGAAAGTATATTGTTCATTATCGACACTTCTTCCGCTTTTTACTAAAAAGATTTCACAGCTTCTAAGTTGGCTATCTAAATAACTTCTCTTTTACATTATTTTTGTAGAAAGCGTGTGGATTAAGAACCCTTTTCAAGACATAGCAGGTGGAAAAGAGGGAGCATCCAATGCTTAAAAAGCAGTAGTTGGAGTTAGCCTACCCACTATTATGATTTTTCAAAATTGTAATTAAAGTGGCACTTGTTGTATAATTAATTAAGGAGGATATATCAAGTTAACTCCATAACAAGTTTCACTTAACAGAATGAATTTTTGTTGGGTATGGCCCATACTTCATATGATGATAAGGACCTCAATGCTATTAAAGTTTTTTAATCTTATTTATATTTTTCTTATAAATCGAGTGACTTGTAACGAGTGGCGGTGAAGTGAATATAGTACATACAAACTGGACGTAGCCTAAATTATGTGAACCAGGATAAATCATTGTGTCTATTATTTCTCTTTTTTCTCTTTGTCGTTTGCGATTTGTGATTGTCGATTTTCAACAATTTTTATATATTTTTTTAGAAGAAACAAACGGGCTCTAATGAAAATGAAATAGGCCAGTTACACGTAACATTGTAGCTTTGATTGATTAATTAAAGAATAGTAAATTTCAAACTCATAAAATATTATGATTAACAAGACTGGAAAATATAATTGCATAACATTTTT